GTTGTGTGGATCTACAGGGCTTTGTTCTCCTGATGTCCTTCATATTCTTTGACATCCCATCTGGGCAGTTTAAGACTCTAAACTTGACGAAGAAGATTTCAATCTTAATATATTTTCATTTTAAATTAATATTTCATCATAGTAATGGCTTTATTCTTGATACTCTTGCAATAAAATATACTCTAGGAACACTGAGATAGGAATTTAACAAAATATTTAAGATAATCTTTTTAATTTTTTCAATTATCTTATTATTTTCATGTATGTGTGACTTAAGTATGGTTTTATTGCTGTGAAGAGACATGATGACCATGGAAACTCTTATAAAGAAAACATTTAATTGGGGATATCTTACAGTTTGAAGGTTTAGTTCATAATCATCATGATGGGATATGGCAGCATACAAGCAGACATGGTACCAGAGAATGAGCTGAGAGTTCTACATCTTGATCCACAGGCAGCAGAAACAACTGTGTCACAGGGTATAGATTGAGTATAGGACACCACAAAGCCCATTCCCACAGTGACACACTTCCTCCAACAAGTCCACACCTACTTCAAGACCACACTTCCTAATAGTACCTCTCCCTAGGGTTGCCATTTTCTTTCAAACCACCATTGTGTTTGTCCTAGATGTTTGAATGTGCACCGTGTTTATGGCTGCTGCCTGCAGAAGCCAAAAGAGGCACACAATTTCCCAAAACTGGAGGTACAGACAGCCGTGAGCTGTTATGTGGAAACTAAATCTAGATCTTTTCCAATAGCCCCCTTTGTGCTTTGCTGTTGAGCTAGCACCTTTTAGACATTCTTTGTGCTATAGTTTAAGAACATCAGTGCAAACAATGCTTGAACACTCTTCTTAAATTTCTTAATAGATTTCTTTTTGAGTTGTTGGCTGAGGGGGTCCAGTGGAGATCCCTAAACAACCCAGTCTGATGCTAGAACATAAGGTTGCTCTATGAAAACTCACAATGGAGCCTTTTTTCTGGGGGCAACTTCCATACAGTTCTTTAAAAGTAGAGAGGTCCAGCAGGTGGCTGCATGGAGCCTTCATTCCTATGTTCTAGACTCTTTGGAGCAAGACAGTATTCTGCAGACTACAGAAAGAGAAATCTAGACAAATCACAAAAACCATGACCTACAATCTGTTTTGCCTGCCAGATGTGCCGGGGCAATGGTGGTACAGAACTTGTGGGACTAGTCAATGTCTGGTTTAACTTGAGGCCCATACCATGAAGGGGAGCCCATGCCATACACTGCCTGAATGTCCAAGAATTAGAGGCTGGATAGCCCAGAGACGTAAGTTAGAACCAAACATGACCTGCAAAAGAAGGAAGAAAAAAAATCAATGAAATGATCCCTAATGATATTCTGCTCTATTCAAATATTAGTCCCTTGTCCAATTATCATCAGAGAGACTTCCTCCAGCATCAGATGGGGACAGGTTCAGAGACCCATAGACAAACATGCAAGTTGAGTCCAAATTGGAGTTCTTAATCAGGTCCTTCCCTTCAGAGATAGGTTCCTCTGGAAGAAAGGGAGAAAATATTTCAGGAGTCAGAGGTGATGGAGGACAGCAAGAGAATATGGCCTGTGGTGATATTGTGTTCCCCAATATATCGTGCATCCTAATAAATGTATCTGGGGTCAGAGAACAGAACAGCCACTAGATATAGAGGCCAGAAAATAGTGGCACACACGCCTTTAATCCTATCACTTGGGAGGCAGAGATCCATCCGGATCTCTGTGAATTTAAAGCGACACTGGAAACAGCCAGGCATGGTGACTTACACCTTTAATCCCAGGAAGTGATGGCAGAAAGCAGAAAGGTATATAAGGCATGAAACCAGGAACTAGAGCTGGGTTAAGCTCTTAGGCTTTTGAACAACAGTTCAGCTGAGATCCATTTGGATGAGGACTCAGAGGCTTCCAGTCTGAGAAAACAGGATCAGCTGAGGAATTGGTGAGGTGAGGTGGCTGTGGCTTGTTCCGCTCCTCTGATCTTCCAGCATTCACCCCAATACCTGGCTCTGGGTTTGTTTTTATTAATAAGAACTTTTAAGATTCCTGCTACAATGGCCCCCTGAATCAACTAAGAAGGGCTCATAGGGACTCAGAGACTGAAGTGGCAAGACTGGGACCTGCATGGTTCTGAACCAGGTCCTCTAGGTATATGTTAGAGCTCCTAGTTTGATGTTTTTGTGGGACTCCCAACAGCCTGAGCGGATGTATCTCTGACTTTTGCCTACACTTGGGACTCTTTTCCTCCTATTGAGTTGCCTTGTCCAGCCTTGATGTGAGGATTTGTGCCTAGTCTTATTGCATCTTATCATGCCATGTTTTATTGATATTCCTGTGAGTCCTGCCCATTCTGAAAAGAAAAGGAAGGACAATGGATCTGGGGGAGAAAGGAGTGGGAGGGAGCTGAGAGGAGTAGAGTAGGAGAAACTGTGGTCAGGATGTATTTTGTGAGAGATGAATCTATTTTCAATAAAATAAAAAATATATATATATATATATATATGCATTTTAATTTATATATGACTTTATAAGTACCATGGTGCATGCATGTGTGGAGGTCAGAGAACAACTTGGTGGGGTTGTTTCCCTTCTTTCTGGCTCTCTAGGATTCTGGAGGATCATAATATAATCAAAAGGATCAACGAAAAATGTCTCTTTGCTTACTGATCCATATTTTAAAAAAATCATTTCTTAATGACATTGTTTAAATATATAACTGTGCATATTTATTTATTTATTTTTGTGATTATAGTATAGTTATATAATTACAAGATATCCCCCCTTCTCTTTTCTCCCCCTAAATTCTTTCATATAACCTTCCCACTCTCTTTGAAATTCTTGGCCTCATTTTTATTTATTTATTTATTTTACTGATAACATTAAAACTATTGCATGTATATACATGCACACATACACTTAATGTTTCCTGAAACTTCTTTTTCTGGCTTCATACTACTCTGCTTTAAAAAAATTGTATAATTTCTGACATGCAATTGATAGTATAAACAAATGTGGTGGCAAAATAAACACTTCAATTAGGTTTATAATCACAATATTAAATTCACAATGCATAGATCAAAGAAATGGATACATATATTTTGCACTGTAACTGAAGCCAAAAATTTAGTATTGTAATACCCATTTTATTTAAAATTTTTAATTACTCATTTATTCTTTTCAAATTTTCTTTTAAAAATATAATGTTCTTGTTCAGCTCATATTGAAGCAGTCATGTTGGTAAGACTTTCTAAGTATAGCTCCTGACAATTCTTGGAGACAAAATCTCCAAGCAAACTCCCTGATTCTCCGTCTCTGTCTCTTACAATCTTTTAGCACCCTTTTCTGAAATGTTCCCTGCACCTTAGGTGTGGGAGAGTATTGTAACTACTCTTATTGATAAAAGGGCCATAAATTTGAAATAGAGCAAGAAGAGGTGTATTATAAGGTTTGGAAGGAGGAAAGGGAAGGGAGAATTGATTAAGTATATTATAATCTCAAAACATAAAAGAAATATTCTACAAAAGTAATAAATTTCTATTACTTTTGAAATATGGCATTCATTACATATAATTCAAAACGTAATCACATTACCAGTTTAAGTTTTAGCCACTTCAAATTTAATAGAAACTTTTAAGATTAACTGACCTTCTATTGTATTTTCTTTGTTTTCATTTTTCTAGTCAATGAAGTGGGAAAATTATCATTTTTAGATGATGCACGGTAAATTGCCTCATATCCTCATAACCATGTAAAGGACAAGTGAAAGGTTTATACTTAATATGAGAAATGTTAATATGTGTTTATCCTTCTTCAGTAGAAGGATCTTTTAAACTCCCTTTCAACATGCAGTTCAATTTCTGTTCAGCATCCTTGCTATCATCTTTTCAAACACATCACCATCGCCTCATGGTGTACAAAGCAGTGATTCATATGGAAGTCAAATTTGCCTTTGGCAAAATTATTATAAAACACTTCCAAGATTTTATGGTAATTTTAATAAGCAAATGCTACTGTATTATTTTTAACTCCATATATGAATTGCCCTTCTCATTAAAATTTTGATAGAATTGGCATACCTGAAGGATTGTATAAATAATTAACCATGGTTTGATGGATGCCAAGTGTCAGGGGAGGTCATGAAAATACATGATACTATTTAGCTAAGGAAGACCAGCCATTTCATTTTATTCCCTATATATTAATATATGAATTTAGATGTCTCTAGACTAACAGCAAATGAGTTTTATGTAATATCTTTTAGATATTGTACATACCCAGGAATTATTTTTAAACTATATAAGATATATATTAATAAGCTCAATGTCCTGGTCAGAGCCACTCTGCCCTAAGGTAGTGGGGTAGGTTGCTGAGCTACTACCAAACACCTGATAGTAGTCTGAGAGAGATTTATTGGTAGTCACAGAAGCACTCTACTCAGTGAAAAAGCTCAGACTTTTTTCTTCTTCATGAGTCTCCAACAATGAGGACAGTGTTGTCCTGAAAATGTATAGCTCTTATCCTATACACAGATCTCTGCACTTGGTCTTTATGTGGAAAGTTCTATAGGCCACAGTACATAAGCATTGCATCCTTACTTTGTTCATTTGTATGTCCAGATTTCCAGGGACCCCCTGCCTTTGGTAAACCTGTATAACATACCGGCAACCTGAAACTTCTGATACTAGTTGCTAACCTAAGCAAACCTGATTTAAAAAGAGGTATCACACTGCCCAATTTCAAATTATACTATGGAGACATACTAATAAAAAGTGCTTCTATTGGCACAAAAAGAGAAATTGTGGTCAGTTGAGTAGAGGATCCAGATATAATCCCACTTAACTGCAGCTGCCTGACCTTTGACAAAAAACACCAAACATAAGCAGTGGAAGGTGGGGTGGGAAGTATAATCTGCATCAAACGTTGATTGTAAAACCAGTTTCAACATGAAGAAAAATGAAACTAGATGTTCTCCTCTCATCTTGCAAAAATCTCAACTCCAAATTCACCAAGGACCTCAAGATATGACAAGATTTCATTAAATAAGAGAGAATTAATTAGCATTAAATAAGACAGTAAAATAATGAGTGCACTTCCATGTATAGTCAAAGGTAAGGCCATTTTAAATAGGATGGTGATACCTTAGGGATTGTGGTATTTCGAATCAGAAGTGTCTTCAATAGTCCCGATCTTATAAATCCTTGTTTCAGAGCTGATGGAACTGCTTAGAAGGTTTAGTTGATGTGGGCTTTCTGGAAGTCTACTCATTAGAGGCAGGCTTTGAGAGTGTGTAGCTTCACCATGCTTTCAGTTCCGTTTCTCTGTTTCATGTTTGTGGTTGATCATGGAAGCACATGCTGCCATGCCTACAAGTTGATGCTATGACTCAGTGTGATAATATACTTTTATCCCTCTTGATCCACAAGTGCAAATGAACTTTTTCTTCCATAAATTGCCTCAATCATGGTGCTAATCAAGCTTAACAGTTGTATGTGGAAGCATGCAAAGAAATCCATACATATAACCCTGAGCAAAACTCAACTCTGAATGAAAAAACAGTAAACCTTAATATATGGCCTGATATTTTGAATATGATAGAAGAGAAAGTGGCATGCAGTTATTGGCACAGAAAAGATTTTCTAAGCACAACAATTGTACAGGGATTAAGAACTATGATTAATAAATGGAATCTCATGAAACTGAAAAGCTTTACAGCAAAGGGTACTGTCATTTGAACAAAGCAGTAGGGTACAGAATGGAACAGCATTTTACCAACTACAAATCTGGTAGAGGGAAAATAACTAAATTGTATGAACAACTCAAAATAAGTAGAATATGAGGCTAGAATATGAGGGTCAAATGGGGAAGTGAAGATAGGGTTAAGGGAGGAAACATGGAGAGGAACTGCTAAAACTAAGTGTCATTTGAGTGTTTGTATGAAAATCTAATATAGTAGAAGCTCATATAAATACATAGATAGGCATCACACACACACACACACACACACACACACACACACACACACACACACACACACACATGAAAGAAGTCTAAATAAAATTCCAAGCAGGGAGAGAAGCCCCAACTAGACATTCCTCACAACCAAATGAAATGTCCAATTCTGGGAATGGGTTACATTTAGTGCAAGCGGCCTCATGGACATTCTCAAACAACCCAGGTGATTGCCTAGTCTCCAGAGAGAGTGGCTGTTCTCCAGAAAATGACCATAGGACTCTGTTGCTGAAAACAACAATCACACAACTCACTTAACAGGGACACTTTGTGCTGGTGCCAACTTAGAACCTTCATTGTTAAACAGTAGTCTGTATGGTACTACAAGATGCTCTGCATGCCACCACAGCTACAAACAATACAGAATTGAAATGTGTTCCATACGAATAAATGATTATAGCAAAAGACATAAGTATGGGAAAGAGTAATAGCACCAATAAGATTCCTAACAGCTTCATCAAGCTTTGACTTGTACAGTTCTATCAATAGAACCCTTTAGTTAGATCATATGCTGTTTACTTGTACAAATTCATGGGACCAGCTCATTTACAGTGTCAATGAAAAATACGTAGAAAATTGTGTGAATCATTTTGAGAAATCTATTCCACTCAGTATTCTGTTTCATTGTATTTATCAAAAATATTTGAGAGTAAAAAGATTGTTTACAGGTTTTTGTATATTGATTAATGCACATAAAATATTGTATGAGGCTATCACCTATTCAAAATTCAAATGACTTTTTTTACTTGTAGTAAAACTTATTTTAGGCAGGTTTTAGTCACTCCAATTTACATATTGATATTGGTTCTATAGTATCTCAGCATTTGAATTTATTTAGGGAAGTTATTGAATTCAGGTAAGGTGATTATATGGTCCCTGATTATATATATTGTTTGTCCATATCAGAGAAAATAAAGAGATGGGCAGACATATAGGGACATCTGACATAGAAAATGGTCATCTACAAAGCAAACAGGAGCTAATCTGGTTGAGCGTTCAGTGCTGAATGTCTAGTCTCTAGAACAGTGGTTCTTAACATTCCTAATGCTGACACCCTTCAATGAAGTTTCTCATGCTGTGGTGACCCCCTAACTATAGTATTATTTTCCTTGCCATTCCATAACTATAATTTTGATACTGTTATGAATTGTAGCATAAATATCTGATGGTCTTAGGCCCCCACTTTGAAATGGTCATTCAGTTCCCAATGGATGGCAATCCACAGGTTGAGAACTACTGCTCTAGATTGTGAAAAAATAAATTTCTCTTGGTTAACCCACACAGTCTATGCTATTTTTAGACAGTATTCAGAAACTAATAAATTCAGCTTACCTCATCAAGTACCTATTATTTCTCCTCCCTCATAGCATGTAAACACACGACCCAAAAATTTAGATACTATATTTTCAGCAATTAATTAAAAAAATTTCCACGGAGGCATGAAAATAATACATACATAAGCAATGAAGGTGACAACAGATTCTGTTCAATTATTTGTTACTTTTGTCTTTCACTATCTTTTATAATGTAAAGTCTATGTAGTCTATTTTTATTGTACATCACAATACTAACACAAATAATTTTCACAAACTTTTATTTTCAGATGAAAAAAAAAAACATCTTGTCCTAAATTGTCTCTATTATAACTTAAGTTTCTGATAACAACCTCACTTCAAAATGATAGCTTTTGTATTATTGAAAATAATATTACCTTAGCTTGGGATAGTTTCAGTTCTTTCACAATTCAGGAGTCTTTCTGGAAAATAAAAAACTTTAATTGGAGGTTGATAAATAACAGGCTGATATTTCCTATTTTAGTTTATTGTGAACAAATACATGCATATTATAATCCAACAACTTAAAAAAGTATAAAGACAAATATTTCATTGATTTTAGTGCCAAAACTAACATCTACTTTTTTACAATGATTCATATCTATAGCTATCTCTATCTCTATCTCTGTCTATCTATCTATCTATCTATCTATCTATCTATCTATCTATCTATCTATCTATCTATCTATCTATGTTTCCAAATAAATGATGAGTCATGTATGATTCATGTTCTCTGCCTGATTTGTGTTATGTGCTTTATTTTGGAAATTCATCTGGTAATTTCACATTGTTCTCAGCATAATTTGGCCTTATACCCACATCCATGTGAGAACTCACAGACACTATGGAAACATTCTTTTGTATACAGAAAACCACAAAACTTCAAGACTCCAAATAACTTAAAATGGATGCTTGGTGTGTGTGTGTGTGTGTGTGTGTGTGTGTGTGTGTGTGTGTGTGTGCATCAGACATAATTGTTCATGATATGTGTAAACACATGTATGGGGGCCACATGTACACATGCTTGTGTGGGCCTTTGGGGGGACAGAGGACAACCTCAGGTGTTATTTTCAGGGTTTTTTGCTTGTTCGTTTGTTTGTTTTGTGTATGGGTGTACATGTATGTCAGAGAGAGAGAGACAGAGACAGAGACAGAGACAGAGACAGAGACAGAGAGGAAGAGAGTGAGAGAGACAGAGACAAAGAGGGAAACAGAGTCTCTCTTTGGCCTGGCTCTCCCTATTAGTTTAGCCCAGGTAGAAATTGAGCCCTAGTAGATGCCTGTATGTGTTTCTCTATAATGGGGTTAGAAAAACACAGCATGATCCTCAGGTGTTTTTATGTGCTCTGTGGGGTCAAACTCGAGACTGATCTACCTTCTCGGCCCTATCTAACACATTTAAGATATTAATTTAAAACAGATCTTTTGCAGGGTGTGCTGGCTAGATTTAAGTCAATTTGATACAGACTATAGTCATCTGAGAGGAAGAAACCTTGTTGGAGAAAATACTTTCATAAGATCAGGCTATGGGATAGCATATATGATTTTTTTCTTAAATTAATGATTGATGGGGAAGGGCCCAGCCCAGCTTGTGTGGGGCCAACCTTAGACTATTGGTCCTGGGTTCTATAAGAAAACAGACTGTGCAAGCCATGAGGAGCAAGCCAGTAAGCTGCATCCCTTCAGGGCATCAGCTCCTGCCTCAAGGTTCTGTTCCTGTTTGAGTTTCTGCTCATTCCTTTGGTGATGGACAGTGATATGGAAAAGTAAAAATCACTTTCCTCTTCGACTTGCCATTTGGTTATGTTGCTTCATCACAGCAATAGAAACCCTAACTAGGAATGAAGGTTAACTTCTAAGTAGTTTGGGTAAACAATTCCAGTTTTGTCTTACAGAGGAAAACTTAGCTAATTTGAAGTTAAACTACTTGAAAACACTGACTATGGGAAGACTGGTGAATTAGTCTGTGTAGAAGACCAAATGATTTCAAAGAGGGACTCAAGACATGCTTCAGAACTCATGTTACACAGCTCACAACTGCCTGTAATTTCCAGCTGCAGGGTGCCAGAGATCTCTGATAACTCTTTCCTCCTCAGGCTCTACAACTCACATGAACATACTCACATGTAGACATATACATACACATAATTAGAAACAATGAAAATACAACTTAAACATAGTGGCAGATTTGTGAAATATTATTAGCATTAAAATTAGAATGACATACACAGAAAATTTGATTCCTATTTTATTTATGGCCTATGGCAAAAACTATATACCTGAGCTGCTCCCATTCTTGGTTAGAGAAGCTGACTTTGCGTTGGGTAATGTTAAGATGTATAGCTAGCTGTTCTAAGTGCTGAGTATAAGAAACTGAGTAGTCCTTGTTAAGTGGGACATTTATATCAATCCCTCTCTCCCATCAAGGATCAGAAATAATCACATAAGAAGCAACAGAAAAAAATGAGCCAAAGGATGGAGATGAATTGTGTGAGATACAAACTTCTGGACTTGACATGGATATATCACTGGTGAACTCAAACTACCTGATTGTACCTGCATAAGATCAAAGCAACCAGAATTATAGACTGGAGAGGTACTATCCGGGATGTATCCCTTATTGATGAACTTTTGGAAGTTGACAGCTGCTGGGGAAGAATGAATCATTATTTATTTATTTTTCCTTAATGTTGGTGTGTTTCATGTGTGGCCACCAGTAGATTTTCCATGCCCCAGTGGTTGGTTTCATACCTCTACAGATACTGACAACACTAACTGGACTTGGTATTGTTGTTTGTTCATGTCTCTTTTGAGGGGTCCTGCCACCCAGCTCCCAAATAAGTCACCCACGGAAGGTTATGTTTAATCATGAATGCCTGATCTTAGCTTGACTTAGTTTCTAGCCAGCTTTTCTTAAATTATCCCATCTACATTTTGGCTCTGAGCTTTTCTCTTCTCTTACTTCTGCTTCTTACTCTTACCCTGTGGCTGGCTGTGTAGCTGGGTGGCTGGCCCTTGAGCCCTCCTCCTTCTTTGTTTGGCTCCTAGTTCTTCTCCCTTCCAGATTTCTCCTGTATATACTCTCTGTCTGCCAGCACCCCCTATCTTTTCTCCTGCCTTGCTCTTGGCTGTTCAGTTCTTCACTAGACCATCAGGTGTTTTACACAGGCACAGTAACACAGCTTCACAGAGTTAAACAAGTGCAACATAAACAAAAGTAACACACCTTAAAATAATATTCTACTACAACTTGGTGTGTTATAAAAATTAAATACATAAAAAAAGAATATAAAGGTGACCTTGTTGGGCAAGATTTGTGCACAGTTGGAGTCAGATGGATGTGGATTTGATTAATTGTGTTTTATTATATACATGTATAAAATTTTCAAGAATAAATAAAAAATCTAAAAACAATTTTAAACCGCTAATTATATTTACTTTAAATTAGACTTTTAAAAATATAAATGAAATAAATAATTTTATTTACCTTAAAGAGGATACATCTTTTCTTCAGCAACATAGTTTTTTTTAACTCTCAAATGTATGATTTTTCTAATTGAGTCAGTCTCTACTTCCTAATTTTCAACATAATATTTGTCATTGATTTATACTCACTGAAGTTGAAATATCTGATATCGCTACTTCATTCTCTAGACTCTAAGGCAGTGATGATATACTTCTTGAGAAATATGAAGAAAATTATTTTTGTCTTTTTTTCACTTAATTTTTTAATGTTTTCTTATTTTTATCTTGGCACTTAGAACATGCCCTATTGTGACTTTCTTTTTTGTTTGAAGGCATGCATGTATATATGTATGTCCAAGAGAAGTGCTCTAAAAATTCATTTGTGCAAATGAACTTTATTGTACTAGAGAGTGTTACGGGACTGTAATGGAAGAATATTTTTGCTCCAGTCCTATATTCATATCAGATTCTCAGATGACCCATTTCTCAGAAATAACATGTAATAACATATGCCTGGTTTACCATCTCTTCCCATTAGCATTGGACTTATTGCTAACATCCTGTAGAGTAATGGTGGTATGGGAAATCAGAAGGACTTTGTCCTTCTATTTTTTAATGCATTCATCAGGACACCAGTTGTGCATAATTTAAAGCATGAAACTGCAACTTCTCTTATGTTTATAGCTGAGAGTTTTGCAAAAAAAAAATCCTGGTTTGTAATTCTCTGCTAATAGACATTCAATAGAATTTACCTTATGCTTGTTATTGCAATAGGAAACAAACTTCATCATGACCCTAGTATCCTGACAGAAAAATTGCAGTTGTATTTGAACAAACTAAAAACATTAAGTGTAGAGTGGCTAAGTAAAAACCAGAAAGTAATTACTAGTGATATAACTTTCTGGTTCCCTTCATAGCACTGACAGCTAAAAGCTACCAAAGGAAGAGTGAACACAAGTTATTTGCAAATGTGAAACGTAATTCCCACCTGAATACAACCCAGCCTTGGCCTGGGAAGCCAAGGAAGAAAGCAAGGATACTTGGTAAGTGAAAGATAAGGAAATATAATTTTCCAGTTAAGTAAATGAGAATAAATGAGAGGCACATTGCTATTTGGATTGGAGTGATATACACATTTTTTTTCTATTCTTCAAAGGATGATATGGTGTCTGCACATTCTAGTTTACTCATCTCCAAGGACTGACATTAACGAGTCATGTAACTATGAACAACTCATTTTTATGGCCTTATCTTTGTCTTCCAAAATGTAAGTGAGCGATTCCTAATAGGCAGTAATTTCCCATGCTGATATCCACCATGAACACCAAGGCAAACATGGTGTTCAGAACAGGACACATAGGACTGTTTAAAATTGAGTACAGTTAAATATATGATTCTTAATACTCAAGCCATAGAGAAAATTCATTTTTTTTTTGTTCTCAAATATAAGCAGACTCTTTGCTACAAAGCTTTTTTACTTATTGGTTGACTTGTATATATTATATACTTATTTTAACACTTTTTGTGCATGGATCTGGGCACTGAGACATAACAAGGAACCAATAAATTTCCCTACTGTCCTAAAGGATATGCCACTTCTACTGTCTTTCAGCTTTAGTGGCCTAGATGGGATTCTGCTATTTAGGATAATTACAGGGTTTATAACATTTATTTTGTGTTCATATAAATATCATAGTCTGATTGTTGATCTCTTTTCAGAAGCTAATATACAAGGAATTCTATTCCCCCATTGTGATGGTAGTTAGGAATAAGGGCTTTGAGAGGCAAATGCCATGTTCATCACATTTGTGAAAGTTATTAGGTCTTATGTAAAATATAAAAGGGGCCTTAAGGATATGACTTGTTACTTCTCCCATGTGATGGAGTGAGAAAGTTATTATATGTAACTGGAGAGTTGGTCCTCTTGTCATATACAAGTATTCTGTTACTTTGCTTG